AAGGGGGCCCAGCAGGGAGGTGGCAGTTCTGGTCCTTACTGAGGAAGACAGAGGCAAAGAAGTTATTAAATATGTTGGCTTTGTCGTCTGGCGTGACAACCAGATTCCCCGTCTTGTCCTGCAAGGGCCCCACATTTCCTGGGGCCTTCTTTGTACTCCCTATGTATTTACAAAAGGACTTCTTGTTGTCCTTAATCCGGGAAGCCAGCCCCTGTTCCATCTTAGTTTTCTCTCACTTTTGATTACAGAAAAATACTAGCGCAATTCTTCCATTACAAAAAACTTAGGAAGACCACAGCAGGCCAGAATGTTTTTGACACCCTGGATTCCTGTTTGAAATCTCTAGCTTTATCTTGTGAATTGTGCTTGGACTCCTAACAGTGGTAAGGTCCCATTGTGTGGCACCTCACAGTACCCTTGAAAGGAACTTCCAGCACCCTGGTTGAAACCAGCTACTTTAGTGGGAGAGCATTGAAGTGGGGATCTCTAGAGCAGTGGTTCTCACCCTATTCGCCACAGTGAGCCACACCTGCAGCTTTCAATGTGTTACATGGGCTGCACCTACGCACAACTTACTTCCTGTGTAAACATTTAAAAAATGTGTTGTATCTGTTACCTGGCAGAAATGCAGGCTGTCACATGGGCCATGGCCCACAGGTTGTGAACCACTACTCTGCAGTGATCTATCCCTTATTCAATACCCTCCCTGGCATCCACTGTTATTGGCTTAGATGCCAGAGGAGTAACCGCAGCATGGGCCTACCTAGAATTTTGAAGAGGGGATGCAGACAGGTGCATCATCACATATGAAACAATATATAGTCCCCTCCAGTTAAAAAGGAACTACCTTCGCTAAGGGCCCTGCCACATGTTCAAGTTAAAGTTGATCAAAACCAGTTATAGAGTTGTTACACATCTCCAAGCACTAACTTTGCAGCTGGTCAGTTCTTTTAGTAGCTGAGACTATCTGAGGGGTGCTTAGAGTCTGAAAAGGTTGAGAACCACTGGCTTATATAAGTGAATTTAGAGCCCTCGAAGAAAGAAAACATTAAATAAGGCTTTTGGAGTAGCTTTTAAATTCATTTTAACTAATCGCAACTTTGTAGTTCATGAAGTGTTTTACTTGCAGATTACTGACAAGGTTATTTGGGTAAATCTAAAACCAACTCAAATAGTCGGAAACAGTCAAATAGTTTCTAGGGTCAGAAGGGACCTGAGTAGATCATCTAGTCTGACGCCCTGCCATGGCAGGAAAGAGTACTGGGGTCAAACCACCCCAGCAAGGTGTTCGTCTAGCCTCCTCTTAAAAACCCCCAGGATAGGAGCCTGCACCACTTCTCTTGGAAGTTGGTTCCAGATCCTAGCCGCCCTGACCGTGAAGTAGCACCTCCTGATATCTAGCCTAAATCTACCCTCTGCCAGCTTGTGACCGTTATTCCTGGTCACTCCTGGCAGTGCTCGGGGGAACAGGGACTTCCCCAGTGCCTGCTGGTCCCCCCTGACCAGTTTGTAACAGGCCACTAGATCCCCTCAGCCTTCTCTTCTGGAGGCTGAACAGGTTCAGGTCCCATAGCCTCGCCTCATAAGGCCTGCCTGATCATGCGAGTGGCCCTCCTCTGGACCTTCTCCACATTGTCCACATCCCTCTTGAAGCGTGGTGCCCAGCACTGGATGCAGTACTCCAGCTGCAGCCTGACCAGTGCCACAGAGGGGGAGCATCACCTCCTTGGACCTACTTGAGATGCATCTGTGGATGCACGACAAGGTACGGTTGGCCTTCCTGACTGCCTCCCCGCACTGCCAGCCCACGTTCATCTTGGAGTCAACGATGACTCCAAAATCCTTTTCCGCCTCTGTACTGACAAGAATGGAGTTCCCCAACCTGTAGGTATGGTGCTGGTTGTTCCTCCCCAGATGCCTCAATTCAGAAAAATTACTTTCAGATTTTTGCTGTTGTTGCTTTTCTTTTGGCAGCTGGTCATTTCTTATGGTGGGGTAAATACTTTGTGCATGTGGCTGCTGTAAATTGATTGTGGTTAACCAGTTAATAGCATGCTAATGACATTATTATATGTAGCCTGTTGCAGGGGCCTAATAGGCTAAGGACCCAGGTCTGTGTTAGGCAATTTGGGTGCAAGCAGAAGCAAATTAAACTGCATTGGCATGGGTATAGAGCAACCCACATCACTGTGAAAGTGGAGCTTTGTGACCACGCGAGGTGGAAGCAGGCAGGAATCAAAGGGGGGTGCAAGGGCACCCCCACCTTTCTGGATTCCCCAGGCTCACTCTGCCGGGAGATGTGCCTGGGGGCAGGTGGGCTCTTCGCTGCGCCCCCTCTGCTCATAAAACGCAGAGATAAATCTCTCCTCGGTGAAGTTTCCGTTGTACCGACCACCAGCGCCGTGCAACACATGCTGGATACAAACACACGCGCCCCTAAACCCGCAAGCAGAACCGCTGAACACACACACACTGCCATAGGCCACGACACACTACCCCTTCCCGGAAGCAGTTACTCTCGCCGCCCCGCCCCTGCCATACGGGCGTGCGGATTGGCTGGGAAAACTGTCCAGCTGGGCTGTGAACCAATCACTGCAGCTCTTGTAGGAGGGGTAAACAACGGGGAAGCAACAATCCCACCCCGCACCTGCTCATGCTCCAGCCTCGAGTGCGCGGCGTTTTCCCCTCCGTCCAACCAGCTCCCGACCCCCGCGCAGGCGCATCGCACGTTCTCTTTCCTCCGCCGCTGCCTCCTCCTCCAGCCCCGAGGGGGCGAGGTGAGTGCGGGGGGAGGGGCGTCGGGCAGCCCGTCTCCACAGCGGCCCCGCCCCTCCTGCACTCCGGCCCCGTCCCCGCCCCCTGCCCCTTGCTAACGCCTGAGGCAGGTGGGTGTCGCGTGGCCTGGAGCGCCAGGCGGGTGGCTCGAAGCAGGGGCCCCTGACCACACTCATGGACCGCCTGCATGCGGGCGCAGGGGAGCACCCTGTGCTCACGCTGGCTGCCAGTGCAACAGCAACCAAAGCGCTGTCGCAGGCGGGCAGTACCGGGGGGTTCAACGGGCCCCATGTGAGATCCGGCTTCTTGTTACACCTCATAAAAGGTTTCAGGGGCAGCAAATCCTGTGGTGAAAGTGCCAGGATGGTGCCCTGTAAAGGAAGGGCTTTAATGCTACAAAGCTTCAGGGGCTAGTGCCCAGGAATGGTTAGGTGTAGGCACTGCCCCCGTGAAACGTGAAGGATTTGTCGCCCCTTTGGCTTATGGCAAAGCAGTCCGTGGTGGTGGTGCTACAACGCACCACAAGGCCTATTTAATGCATATCAGTAATACAGATTCAAAACCTGCGGTGGAGGTGATATCTTTTATTAGACCATAATAAAAGATGCCACCTCTGCCATGAGTTTTGATTCCTTTTGCCTCTAGACCAGTATGGCTACAACCTGGATACCTATCAGTAGTGTGGGACTTCTGCCCAGAGAGCAGCAGTTATCCCCTGCTGTTAAGAAAGCGGCCATGAGATGTCTGCCCACTGAATTAGTGGCACGAATAGAAAAAGGGAGAAGTGTGAGGGCCACAGGTTCAAAACGAGTGTACCAAGGGGGGAGGGGAGGGGAGGGGAGGGAGAAATCAAGCAGGGTACACCAGGCAGAATGCATTACATGGGGCTGATGGGCACAGGAGGCACAGTTTGAACACCCCGGGACCAAGATTTTTGAATTTATCTATGGGAGAGCCCCCTTCCCCATCCTCCAATTTCTGTAAGGGAGGAGATATATGAAAAGGGTGGGTGACTGTCTTCAGCTGAACCAAAACTATACCATTTTGGGCATTTTGTGATGATGGTATCAGTCACTTGATATCACAGATTCATATAACATGGAGGAGTGGTTTCATGTTAGGTGAAAACTTAAGGAAGTGACCTGTCGTACTCCAGTGAGGGGGCAATGATAAAGCAGAATTATGTGACTGGTTTGAAAAAGTGGAAACTTTTGTTTCATTTCAAGGCTTTATCTGATGCATGCTAAGTTATTACAGAGAGAAGTGCCAACTGCTTGAGAAAACCCATTATAGAACTGGGCCAACAATAGGAGACTAGCAGTTACCAGTTGAAAAGATGTAAGTTCTTTCTTCCACCTGTAATGTTCCCAAAAGATATAATTCTCATCTTAAACTGACAGTATACTTGACGGTTAAAAGGACAAGTTATCTTTGCGCCCTGATTCATCAAGAAGTTACAAAAATAATAGTTTTGATGTCAGAAAAATTCACAGACCTTATAGCAAGTTGCCCTTTTAGAAATATTTAGTTCCCATTTCAAGTGAAGTTAGATACTTTGCAAAAAAAAAAAAAAAAGATGGCAAGTAAAGCATATAATCAACTGCAAAGTTATAATTATTTAAATAAAATAAAAACACCCCCCAAAGCCTTATCTGATTTCTTTCTTTGAGGTCTCAATTCATTTATAAGCCAGTGGCGCTCAACCTTTTCAGACTCAAAGCTCCTCTTGATAGTCTCAAGGCACTCCTTAGAAAATGCCAGCTTTTAGTTTTTGTCCATTTTTGGACTACAGACAAAAGATAGAGCAACTCTTCTGCTCAAAAGAATTCAGAAACACTGCAGTGGGTGCATCTACACAAGATGCTTACTGTGCATTAGCCTAATAATTCCATGACGCTACTGTGGTGAAAACCGTACTAATAGCTTACTGCACAGTGTTATTAGGCTAATGTGCAATAAATATCACTAACTGTGTACTGGCACTACTGCGCAGTAACTCTAGGTACCATGTATTTAGTTAGTACTTTCTTAAGGAAGTACTAAACTAAATGTGCAGTATCTAAGTTGCATTAATAAACATGTAGATGTGCTCAGCAGGTCAGAATGTTTTGGACACTATGGATTTCTGTTTCAAATCTCTGAGTTTATCTTGTGAATCATGTTTCACACCAAATGATGCTACCATTGTGTGGCACCTTGCAGTAGCTGTAAAAGGATGTGAAGGCATCCCAGGTCGCAATGGTACCCTGATTGAGAATCACTAATATAAGCTTAATGTTTCCTAATTAGCATTACCCTCCGAGCCATCAGTTTTACTCTCTCTCATTCTCTGCTACTTGAATATAATACAAATAAGAGTTTGGAGAGCCCAAGGAAAGAGAGAGAGAGAGAGAAAAAAAAAATATATAACATAGAAAGTATCTTTGATTTGAAGATGTTTGAAAATCTGATATTGTCCTTTTCCTGAAACATAACTTTGTTTGATGTTTGTATCAATGCTTTGGCTCAACAGGGGCCAATCTTTTTGGCAAACATGCCACAAATTAGCGCCACACCCTCTTGGAGTGCCACTCCAGTCCCCTTCCTCTGCCCATCCTGCTTAGGTTTCTCCTTCCTACTCTGTGCTCCTTATCCCTGTAGTGCAAGTAGGATGGGGTGACAGGGGCAACCGCCCTGGACATTGTGTGAAAAACTGGCTTCTGCTCTAGTTGTGTGATTGCAATCACAGCAGAAGTAGCAACCAGAAGTCACTGCTGCTCCTGTGTGCAGCAGCAACCCCAGGCACCTGTCCGTCTCCTTATGCTGCTACCTTGCCCAATCTCCTACTCAGCTTTCTGCTTCCTGCCTTGTACTCCCTGCTAGATCTCCTGTTCTGTCTCCTGGACATATCTGCTGCTGTGCCACCTGACTCCTCCCTGATCTGTCACATCCCACACACAAAGGTTGCCCATGCCATAGGTTGGCCACCCTTGTTTTAGGGCAATTTCAGAACTGGAATCATTCTCTGAGGAAAAAGGTGTCAAGTAGTATGCTGGGGCTGAGTTTTATTAAAAAAGGAAACTTGCAGTTGGTTAGGAAGTATTTCAATGGCAGCTGTAAAATAGTGACAGTCAAATTTCGTATGTTTAACTGAAATCTTCCTGATATTGGATAGCTGGGATTTTTCAGAGTAGGTTAAGAGAGTGCCACGATTTTTACTGTAAGTATAGTTTCATCCCATAATAAAATATTAAAATGTAAGATATTTTAGCCCTTTTTCTATTGATGTTTTGTTATGGATAGGCTTTTGGTAAATTTTATAGCAATGTGTCTTTGTTATATGCAGCAATAACGTCCCTGTACAATGACAGAGAGCAAGCCCCATAGCCGCAAGCAGATGCTAGAACCAAATGTCAGAGGCTGTTCAAGGGGACATGATCACTCCTCTATAGAGGCACTGAAGTTTCCTGCACAAGCCACTGTGAGCTTTCACAACATCTGCTACAAAGTAAAAATGAAAACTGGGCTTTTATGTTGGCAGAAAACTGTTGAAAGAGAAATCTTGAAAGACATCAAGTATGTATTTTAGTGTCAAGCATATTAACTTAACTTTTCTTTCCAAGGAGGTTAACAATAACCTCATTCAGCAAACAGATGAATGACAGATGAACTAACTGCACAGCAATACAATTTTGAAATTCATACTTTCAGATTTAGTTTTAAAAAGTTAATACTGCATAGATACCCTTCTTGTTGTTGCACCTGTCAATTAAAATTTGTCTTCCAGTTTTAATTAAGGAGCGTGTACACGCTGCTGGTGCCTTCTCCAGTGCAGGAAGGTCTGAACATCCATAGTGAAGACTTAGGTATTGCAACAGTGGACAGACATTCTGTCACCCAGTGACATTTCCAGCTCCAAGTTAGGTGTCCAGGCTTCCTTTTACATGCATAAGAAGTTAGGCACATAAAGAAACAGGAGCCTAGGTAGCCAATAGGAAATGTTGAAGAGAAAGATGGGACCAAGAGAGTGAGGTACTTGACTCCAAATACACAGCTATGAATCTTCCTTTGGAATAGGCGCTTAAGTCAGGTCACTCTTTGCTCACAAAACACTGAGCATGAAAGAGCTTACTTCCTTTTATGCAATTGCCCAGCTGTCCTGGGAGGTGAGACCTTCATTCACAGTTCCCATTCCAAATTATATAGAGGACAAATTTGAATGTGGGTATTCCACCTCTCAGAAGAGTACATGTATTTTGAAAGTTAGACATACTCTGATCACGCATCTATTAGATCAGGCTCCACAGGCAGCCCACCACTTAATTTTTGAATCCCTCCAGAGCTAGGTATTAAGCAGCTTGGAGCTTTTAAGATTTACAGGGGTCTACATTTTCCTAATAGCAGAAGCACGTAAGAGACTTTAAGGTTTATTTGCACAATCAACCTTCTGCCAGTATAGCACAGTAGAATCTTCTAGTGGCTATGTAGCCGGAGTCATTCATGAAGACGGTTTAGCTACGCTACTAGGAAAATAAATGGACCATCAGCATAGGTATATCTACACCATCAGTTTTGCAAGCATAGCCATGTCAGACAGGATTCCCCCACTCCTCCACTCCCCCACCCCAAACACCCGGTTGACAAAGCTATGCCTACAAAATTTTGTAGTTGAGTCCAACACTTCCCAAATTATTTTGACCATTGGATCATTGTTTACTACTGATGCTTCTCACAGACCAGCACACACTCTTCTATCAAACTTCTAACTGAAAGGAGCGTGTGCAACCCACAGATCAAAGTTTGGGAATCACTAGTAAAGATCAAGCTTTAGGCAGGAGCTGAGTAGCAGTTTCTTTGAATGCCAGTAGCATTAAAAGAGTGGCTGGGCATCTATTCCCCCATCTTGTCAGTCTCATTCCCATAATGTATTGAGGCCTGATTTTTGGGAAACCATTTATTGAATGGTAGAAAATCCCCAAATAAAAGAATTTTACATAAATACAAGAGGTACCTTCCTTTTGAGCCAGGAGCTTTCTTTCCAGAGTTTGCCTACTGGCAGCTCTTCTCCAGCCACATATAGCTCCTCAGACTGAGCTTCTTGAGCCCTTATAGGAATCAGGTGTTCATAATCCTATCTACCAGGCCCAAACAATTATTCTAAGAAGTCTCTGCTTTAGAATAGGGCTGGGTGGTCCAGGGTCCAGTCTAAAAAAGGGTTAACCAACTCTGTTGCTGTGTGCTTAGTGTACAACTAGGTATAACTTTTATTTTTATTTTACTCTATTTATAAGATAAAAGCATTAATTGTAGCAAAAGCATGAAAAAATACTAACCTTTTACTAAGGTAAAAAACAAAACAGAATGAAAAACAAATCCACTTCTGAAATTGGCATGTATTTGTTTATGTTTCATACATCAGTAAGGGATATTTAATAGTTCCTCAATGATTTTGTTTTAATAATACAATAAAATTGAATGGCCTTTAAAGCAATTCATTTTCACACAAAATGAAAATAAAATTAATTTGGGAAATGCTGATTTTGTTTTACAGTGGGATTATGAGACCTGGGCTTAATGCAATATTGGGACCTACTGGCAGTGGCAAGTCTTCGTAAGTGTTGTGGCAACAATAGGATTTCTTTTACCTTATGCATATTCCTCATATAGAGAAATCATGACAATCAGAAAACATGTCTGCACACTATTACGATTAGTAAACAGATCAATAGAGGCCACATGTAAAAAATAGCTTCTATCCAATAGCCTCTGCATGTTCAAAATTCTATTATTGTTCACCTCAAAAGCTATTCAAATTTCCATGCTTATAACAGATTTTTTGATGTTCAGCTACATAGCTAGGAGTGCATGTATCACATTTATAATGTGACGTGTCACATTTATAATGCACATCTAAGCTTTGGGACCTTTTCCAGATAATATACATAGGGTAGGACTTCAGCTGTTCAAATATACTAGAGTGATTGCAAATGGTTCATGAAAAATCTGAGATTTATAAACCTGGGATAAAAAGTCAGGGATTTATAAGTTGTCTTCTGCTTGATGTTTGGGCAGGTGTTAGTACAAGAGAGAATCTGGGGTGATATTTTCAGCACAGAAACTGCATAAAAATATGCACCAGATGATGCTAATTAGTTTGGTATGGCAAATTTACCTTTTACCTACCCTGCCTTTGAAAGACTTACTCCTCAGAACCCTTTTTGGGAGACTGATTTTTCTTCTTTCTAGGCTATTAGATATATTAGCTGCAAGGAAAGATTCTCATGGGCTGTCTGGAGACATTTTGATAAATGGAGCTTCCCGGCCTCCCAACTTTAAATGTATTTCTGGATATGTGATACAGGTAAATAAGCCTGATGTTTCAGTCTTCTACTTTGGAGACAAATTCTGGATTAAACAGCCAGTGATGAGATTTACAGTATTGTGGTAGTGACATAAGGCCCTCATCATCTAGTTTTAACATTTTGTGGAATTGCTCCTTTTTTTTTTGTCTCCTATTGTAAACAAGCACCTCGTCCCAGAGGTGCAGCATGGTCTTGTCCATTCACTAATACAGTGGTTTTCAGCCTGTGGTCTGTGGACCCTTGGGGATCTGCAGACTATGACAGGTCCATGAAAGATGGTAATGATCAATCAAAACTATGTGAATACCCACACTTACCATTCAAAGGGGTCTGCTCCTCCATTCAGAATTTTTTAGGGGTCCACAAAAAGAAGTTAAAAACCACTGACCTTGTATATTGCTTTGGGCATTTTCTTACATTTCCCATCTGCATTTGACCTGAATTTGAACTTATATGTATGCATATCTAAGATCATAAAACAATGTTAAAACTATTTCCTCTTTTCTGTCTCAGTTGTTTTGTTTCTAATTATTTTTGGATATATATGATGATTGGTAAAATCTTGCAAGAAAATGATATACGGTTATTGATTTTTTTCATATTTTTCTTTTTATACAGGTATTATTAAAATACCTTTTCAGTTTGCCTTACAGTCTCAATCAGAACTAAGGGTCAGTTGTGCCCTCTAGGCGCTCACAAATTAACCTAGGTTATAGAGAAGTGTTTTTCATTTTGTCTGTTACTCACTTTCTACTCAGTTTCCTGCTTTGCTCTTTCATCTTCAAGTTACACTCTTCAACTGCTTCATTTTGGCTCTAAATGCGATATTATGGAAATAATTAAAAAACCCAACTATGGTTAGAGGGAAGGTAATCTAAATAGAGCTTGTTCAGAATGAGGCCAGTATTGGAATTATAGCTGGCATTGTGCTCATTAAATATTGTGGTGGACTGTGGTGGAAAAAGTGTGATCAGATTTTTAATTAGCTGTACTAGCTCTGGAAGTTTGTAAAGTGATCTGCATTCTCTTATTTAAAAAGATATAAATTCTTGAACCTCAAAGACTTAGCATACAGAAACTCCTTCATGCTTTGCCAGACATCATACAGTTGTAGTTTAGGATCCTGTTGTAATCTGTTTTAAAATCAAATATTGTCCTAGTTAGTAGAAAATGTTTTCTGGCCAGTAAGGCCCAAATTCTGATCCTAGAAATAAGGATGCAGATCAAAGTACTCCTATTAAAGTCCATGCATTTACTTGGTCTAGAGATCAGAAACTGATCCTAACAGATTTTTATCTTTTGCCATGATATTATTTTGTTCATATACACCATTGATAGAGGGCAAACAGAAAAACAGTGCTTAATGCTCTGCCTTTCTTATTTTCCTCTCCGCATGAGGAGGAATGATGGACATTCTAGTAGCACTTTTCCCATCATCACGTAAGGATAGCAAGCTACAAAGGGCACAGGGAAGCCCCATATCCAATGGGCAGTGGTTCTCAGTGAAGTCCTGGGGAATCCTGTTAGTTTGGATTCCTTGATGCAATGGATTCCCATCCACTGTGGGGGGTCAAATTTTTCAATTCTGAGGGAGATCCATGACAAATATGGCCTTCGATTCCTTGCTATGATGAAACTCTGTGCATCCATGGGATGCAGTTTCCTGGTCTTGGAGTTCTGCCCACTAAATGTGGCCTGGATTACCTAGGTTTGAGCTTCCCTGTCCTGGGAAATCCCCACAGACCATAATGCCATTGCCATCCACTATAATACTATAACTTTGCAGTACAAGATCTTGACGTCAAGAAGGGAAAAATGGAGCTTGAAACCAAAACTAGCTAACATTTTTGTATCTCCTAAGAATGATGTGGTAATGGGGACCCTGACAGTGAGAGAAAATTTTGAGTTCTCAGCAGCACTTCGTTTACCGACTTCTGTGCCTGAACAGGAAAAAAAAGAACGAGTTAACCAGATCATCCTGGAACTGGGTTTGTCCAAAGTGGCAGATTCCAAGGTAATGGCATAACAAGTCAAGGCATTTACTATTACCAAACTAAGAATTTAAAATGTAATTTCAAATCAGAAATATCTGACAGTTGAGGCAACTTTAAAGTATTTCTACTGCAAAGTTTGACTTCTGAAAAAAATTAATTGTAGGTTTACATACGTAATATTTTGCAATAATTTTCACGTTACATGTGTTAATTTACAATTTATGTAAATTACAGTTTACAAAACATATAGACAATTATGGATTCCATAAAGGAAGCTGGGTTCTTTCCTTTTTTTTTGCACATCGTCACCAATTATAAAGGTTCTGGCTGTGAATTATGCCTTAGCAATATTTTTGTAATCCCATTGCGTGAATGGGGGATTCAGAAACTTTACTGATTGGCTCAACAATTGGAATTTAGTAAAAAATTCTGTGAAAAAATGATTTAATAATTTCATAAAGAAGTAAAATTTAATACAAACATTTTTGTCTTGAACATAAGTATAAATGCCTCTGCATATACAAAGAGCAGATCTGTCCTGTAAGAAGGTGCATTTTTTCATAATCACTTATCAGTACTGAACTACTTTCTGACTCTGCTCCCCCAGATCCTACCAATTATTGTACCATCCATACACTTGTAAAGCTGGATATTTGCTCACCTTCACCTTAATTTGCCTTATAGTGTGGTTTGGTTTTCCCACTCACTAAAAGGGTCCTTCATTTAACTTGGTCTTTACTAGCACTACTTTCTGAACTCTCTCCTGAGTTTCCCCTCTGACCATCACCTGATCCTTTCCTGCATCACTTATTAGCTCGTGACCAGCCTTACTTCTGTCTATAAGGTGACAGGCTCTGTGGATGGGGGGAGAGCAGCGGTTATGATATACCTTGACTTTAGGAAGGGTTTTGATACCGTCTCCCACAATATTCTCATTAACAAGCTGAGGAAATACAGACTAGACAGAATTACGATCAACTGGATACCTAACTAGTTGGATTATCATGCTCAAAGAGTAGTCATCAATAGTTCACTGTCTAGTTGGGAAGAGGTATCAAAGTGGGATTCGCCAGGGTCAAGTATGGTTTGTCCTGGGTCAGGTATTGTTTAATATCTTCATTAATGATTTGGATGATGGGACTGAATGCAGATTTAGCAAATTTACAGATGACACAAAGTTGGGTTGAAGGTACTTTGAAGGAAGATCCAGAATGACTTGGATTGACTGGAAAAATGGTCTGCATTCAACCAGATGAAACAAGGGCAAGTGCAAATCCTACACTTGGGATGGAATAATTGCATGCACAAATACAGATTGGGGGTTGTCTGGCTAAACTTAGTGCTACAGAGAAGGACCTGGGAGTTACAGTGGACCATAAGCTAAATATGAGTCTGTGGTGTGCTCTTATTGTAAAAAAAGCCAGCAGCATACTGGCTTGTATTAACAAGAGCATCACTTAAAAATCAAGGGAAGTGATTCTTCCACTCTGTTCAGCACTGATGAGGCCTCATCAGGAGTACTGTGTCCAGTTGATAACAGTCTTCAAATACCTGAAGGATGATTATAGAGATGATGGAAATAGACTGTGGCTTGTAGGGGACAGGACTAGGAGCAATAAACCCAAACTACAGTAGAGAAAAGTTAGGCTGGAAAGTTGGTGGAAGTGTCTGATTATGAGGGTGATAAAGCTTTGGAACAGGCTATCTAGAAAAGATGTGGCATTATCATCCATGGAAATTTTCAAGAGCAGGTTGGCCTGGATGGTTTAATGAAGGATAATTGTGCCTTGAGCAGGGACCTGGACTAGATGATCTCTTGAGGTACCTTTAAGCCCTACTTGCGTATGATCCTAGTCATGCCTGTCATTTTTGCACTTCTTGTGTGTCCACAGCTTTTTATGCTCTGGACTCTCTTCCTTCTATTCATGTGATTCGTGTTGCTTTTTAAATTTGATTCTTTTGCCCTTGACTTTTCCATAAAAGATTCACTTTACCAAACCCCAACCATGGCATACCCACAGCAACTGTTTCCTTCATTCCTTCTTTAGCATCTGATGAAGTATGCTGTTGCCTAGGAAAGCTTACTCCTTTTTCAACCAGTCAGTCTCTTAGGATGCCTGTAGATGTGCAGGACGTCTGCTCCGATGCCCTGTAATTACAGCATGTTCAAGTAGATTTGATTAATTGAGTCTGCTGGAGTGTGCTAAATATTATTTTGATGGGTTTTATAGATCAACCATGTAAATGTTTTATGTTTCATTTACATTTTAATATCTGATCTAACACCTGAAGCACTAATATTTTTCTGCATTTTGACATATTTAACAAAATTATTTACAAAGAAACCTTATTCTTAGGACATGATACTCTATTTGCACTAGGTTGGCACCAGTATAATTCGTGGCGTCTCAGGGGGAGAAAGAAAAAGGACCAATATTGGAATGGAACTTATTACTGACCCTGCAGTCTTGTTCTTAGATGAGCCAACAACAGGACTGGATGCCAGCACTGCCAATGCTGTCTTGTTGCTCTTGAAAAGGTGACTGTAATAGAATCACTGGGAATGAAGCATCCTTTTGGATAGAGATATATATACTCCTCACTTGCAATTATAACATTAAATTACATGTACACAGCCTTTAACAGTCTCCTTGGTTTATCCTTGGTTTATCCCTATTTAAACAAATGGCAGCTGCAGGTTTGTACACTTGGAATTTCCTTCTAAATCTGCTTTTAGGGGATCAGGATCTATCTTCTGTCCCACAGCTTTCAGTGCACAAGTGACAGGGTTTTCTGGGCAAACAAGAAAATCATTTTGAAGGTTCTGCCTAAGGGAAAAAATGTAATATGAACATTACACTCTCTGTTATCTGCCCTGCATATGTTTTTGATTTGGAGGACATGCTATACCTCATGAAGGAAAATCACTGCAAGTTATCTCAGGCTTACACTTCAGTAATAACAAGGATTACTTTGTCCTGTTGGCTTGGGAAATTACAGTCTGAACAAAATCTGATCATGCCCATATTTCTTTTTGTCATGCCTAGTAAGGGCTTAGAATTTACCCCTTTTAATTACATTTTTGCTCCATCAAAGTTTTTAAAAAATATATATGTTTTTACCCTGTGATGTTAGATCTATTTTATATTAATATAAATTGAGGCCAAGTGCTGCCTTTTATTATTTCTTCTTGGAAATTGTCTAAATTTTTACCTCCTTTCAGCTCTCAAATCAATAGCAGGATAATGCAACTTTAATTATACATCCTGAGAATGATTCATTATAAGAAAATAGCATAGGCATTGAGCCAAATTCTAAGATGTTTACTCTTTGTTTTATTCTATTTTTACTTAAGCAATCTTCTGCTGAAGTCTATTTCCTCACATAGGAATTAAGTAAAAATTGGGACTGGACCTCAGTGGTTTACCCCAATGTATTTGTACCTCTTCATAGTCATGGGTATGATTACTATTGGCCATTGATAGCAGAAATAAATGTAAAGGTGAAAAGAAAAACTAGAAGTGTTTAATATGTCTCTTCTATTTCTTCTGTTGCATTTAGGATGGCAAGACGAGGGAAAACAATAGTCTTTTCCATCCATCAGCCCCGGTATTCCATATTCAAATTGTTTGACACCTTGACATTACTAGCTTCAGGAAGGCTGTTATATCATGGCCCTGCTCAGACAGCTATGCAGTATTTCAAATCTATTGGTAAGCTTTCATAGGTAGCTTTAGTTGCAATGTTGGGCACTGAGAAGAATCATGCTTAAGACTTCCAGTACATTATGTTCCGCATAAATAAGGAAACAAAACTTCTTTTTTAAAAATCATTTGGTTATTAAAGAAATGAAAAGGATACATAGTTTACTTAGGCAATGATCCTTGAAATTGTAGACTATGGTATAAAATGTATATTCCAAGAACAGAGTGGTCATGTGCCGTAACAGCTAATTATTTTCCCATAGAGTTTGCACCAAAAGGGTCTATCATATGGAACACTATTAAGAAATAACACTGGAAATATTTATTTAAATATTTAAATACCCGTACTTTCTGATTCAGATATTGTAGCCATGGTGTGAACATGTTTAAAATTATACATACATTTTTCCCTGTCGGTTGTGTCAAATCAATTGGATAGGCAGGTTCCATAGTCATTGGTTCTCTGCACAAGGAAAAACATGCTTCCATATCCCATATTTTTGCATATGATAAGGACTTTTCAGCAAGAGCACCTTAGCTGTTAAAAATGAAATAGACAAAAATGCAGTAGGCACAATCTTGTAGGTATGAATCTTGACAGATTAATATTCATACCTTGAATTGCACCAAGAAATGGCAATTCTGTTCAGACCTTCCCTACCACCTACAGGGGTGGATCTAGGATTTCCCAAAGGAGGGTGCAGGAGCAGTAACCCATACTGCAGTGGTGGTTGCATCCCCTGCTCCCGGTCTCCTCCACTCAGTTCCTAATGTGGGTGAAAATCCCCCTTCCCCTTCCTGCTCAGAGGCATGCTTTCTCCCCTCTTTTTCTTCCTCCTGCCCCCTGTCTGCTGCTGTGGATTTCTCCACCATTTGCAAGGTGGGGAAGCTCCGAGCCACCCAGGTTTAGTGCAGGCTGGGCTCAGCTGAGGAAGGGGCAGTGACAACAGGGTGGCTGGAGAGTAGTTCCCTCTACCCTGCGCAGTCCCAGAGCAGGTGTGCTGCCACTGTCCCCATCCCCAGCTGAGCCAAGCCTCTGTGCGGCGAGCAAGAATGGCTCTAGTGTTTTCCTGCCTCTGAACAATGAGGTTGGGGGAAGGGGCAGGGAGGGGACATGCCTTTGAGCAGGGAGGGGAAGGGAGAGAGTATTGGATTTTCATCTGCTTAAGTTACTTTAAAAAGTCCTCAGAGGCTCCTGTGGTATGGTCTAGTCCAAAAGGAGAGGGGAAGGGTACAGCTGTCTTACTGCACCCCCTCTGGATCTGCCCCTGAGCACCTACGCTAATAGGTAGTGGGAGGCTGCATTCAGAACTCATTTTAGTTTCTGCACCATAGGCAGGCCTAACTTTTTATTAGTTTAAAAGAAGGGGTGGGGAGGTGCTGCCCAGAAGCATGCCTCAGCTGTTATGAGGTAACTGTCACATCTGCAATACAAATGAGCTGAATGGCTGTAATTTTAATTTTGATAAAAGTTTTAAATTGACAATACATTTGTTTTGCTACAGGAAGATTAATTTGTAACAGTTGCATTGTAATGGTACATACCAATATAATTCAGTAATCAGTATAATTCTTACATCTGTCTATACCTTAAACAGACTTTACAGGTAGCCTCATGGGAACCCCCCTGTAATAATCCAATATGGAAGTAAAAAAGGCATAGAGAATTGTTGTAAGGTTCACAAAATAGAAATGATCCCAAACATTGAACAAAATACAGATGGCCAAAGGCACTTCAGGTTACTAGTTCTTCCTGAGATTTTGGAGGGTCAGGGATTCAGCAGTATTCTCAGGTATTGAACTTCATTCATAAATTATGGCCATCCCTTTTGTTAATGAAGTCAACACCTGGTAAATAAACAGTGACTAAGTCCCTCAGATGCTTCTGTTTCATTACTCTGTTTTGGCTGAAAAGTGTTTCAGATAACTCAGTATCTCATTCAAGCCCCTGCTTTGGACAGAATTTTAAAAGCATAGGGATCATACTATCCAAATTCAGATTTGAATGTTGTGACGGATCCCTATATGTCTACAACTTAATGAACCAGAATTCTGGAGCCAAGCATTCATGAAATTTAGATCTGATTCTGAAGTGTAAAGTTCTGGCCCACTGTTAACTTTTGGCTTCATTTGTGCTCACCTTATTAGATAACAGCTTTAAATATTGAGGAGATATCTAACTGTTTTCCTTTCAAGATCATTTTCCTAATTTTGCTCTTTGTCTATACAACACATTTTTATGATCTACTGAATGACTTTCTGTGGACTTGATATTATTTCTTTGTAGGTTATGAGTGTCAGCCATACAACAATCCTGCTGATTTTATCCTGGATATTATTAATGGAGACTTAACTGCTGTAACAGTGAGCAGAGCAGACTTTACCAATATGGCCAGTTGGTCAGGTATGATTATTTTACTTATGGGGAAAAGGGGAATTTTGCATTTGTGAAAAATGTCTTGAAAAATAGGCAGGCAAGGTTCTTTGTGTAGATATGATATCTTTTATTAGACTAACTTGAGTTGTGATATCACATCTACGCAAAGAACCTTGCCTGCCTATATGTCCTTGGTCTAAGACGGCTATAACCAAAAACGCAGCAACGTGTTGAAAAATATGTTTTTTACCACCCAGATAATTGAAAATATGGATTTTAGCAATTTTGAAATGGTTCCAGAATGTGCAAATAAGTGAGAAGTTACAACACATTAAGAGCTGAGACAGTCATTGTTAAAATAATTATACTTCAGATTTCGTAAGCACTGTTTCCCATCTTGCATTCAAAGTTACTTGTGGATACAGTTAAGAGTGGGGTAAAAAATGCAAACTCCTTATGGAAGCATAAAGAAAATGATAGCTCTTAGTTTTTACTCTACTTTTTTACTACAAACAAGAATTAAGCACTATTTCTGTTGCAAACAACTCAAAAGATCACATTAGATCAGAATGTTTTTAATACTGTAATATGAATTTCTGTTGGAAATCTCTGAGCTTATCTTGTGACTCATATTTGCATGCCTAACAGTGCTAACATTCTAACATTGTGTAGCACCCTGGTTGAGAATCACTGCATTAGACATTTAACAGAGAGGCCACATCTATATTAGTAAAAATTGAACTTTTGACTCCTTATCAGTGCAACTCCATTGGTGACAGCAATCAAAGAAGCTGTTGTGTTAACAAGGCTTAGGTGTTTTACCACAGTCATCTAACATTACTTTGAGAAGAGCTTTATATCATGGTGTTAAGAATACTGACTCCTGGCTGCACTTCCAACATTGCACTAACTGATGGAACTGCACCTGGACTGAATTATGATGTTGATGTTTCCTTTTGTGGATAGAGTCCTAGAGATGTGAAAGAGAAAAATGATAGACCCCTGAGCACAATTCTCAACATTCCCAAAAGCCTAGTTTGAACAGATATAATGACATAGATTCTGGTTCATGACATGTGCATGTTCTACCATACATTGTCTTGTTACACTATTGAGAAACTCATTTCATTTTGCTTGCTTCATTTTACGTTTTCAACCATGTTTGATATTTGTAGATGTAGATCTGATCTGATCTGATTTTGAATTTGGATCTATGCTGGAACTTTTCCAAACTTGAGGTGTTCCTTGAGCCCAGTGTAGACATAGATACAAGGTTTGAGGTTTGAATTGTGATCTGTATTGTCCTGAAGTTCACTATGTTTGGATTCAGGACAGTAATTTAATGTCATTTCTATTTTTTTGTTTGTTAAGTAACATTTAGGAGATGATGTGTAGCATTATTGAGACAATAGGGGAGGAGACCCTTCCAAGTACACAAACTGCCACAAACGTTTTATATCCTTAGCTAACTACTGCAACTACATTTTTCTTTTGAAGCTGAAGAGACCTATGAAGAGGTCAGTGGTGATGACACTATTGCAAGGGCATTAGCAGATCTGTATTCCAGTTCCTCTTACTACAAAGAAACAAAAGCTGAATTAGAGAAACTGCCTTTGGAGCATAAAATGATCAGTTCAGATTTTAAAAAAATCACATACAGCACTTCCTTCTTTCACCAGCTCAAGTGGGTGTCCAGACGTACATTTAAAAACTTGATAGGAAATCCACAAAACTCCACAGCCCAGGTAACTGTCATGAATCATTAGAATGAGAATATTCATAAATATATATTGTCATTTTACTTAAGTATTTTCTTTACTTGAGTTGAGCTTTACTTGAGTTACATTTACATTATTTGAGTTGAAGTATGAAATGCTTGTTTCTAAAAATTAGACAGTAAAATAAAATCCAACTGCCTTTGAATAGACACTTCTAAATGTAGAAGTCCTTACATAGGTCTTATTTACAAAGAACCCCATAACACATTTATGCTTTTTAAAACGCTGTTGTCACTTATGCTAATTACCAGTACCTGGGATAGAAAAATATTTTCTCCTACAGAATCCAACATAACTACATAATTTCACTATGCAATAAGGTCAGAATGCTATATGTATGATAATAGATTTATTTTAAAAATTGTGATCTCAGAAACAAATTAGATGAAAACCTATAGTGTGTACACAGACAAAATTCCCAGTAGCCTTAGTGAAAATAAGATTGATTCTTTAGGTGAGCACATCCTACATTAATAAATGTGGTTTTTATCTTAATCTTTGCAATTAGTCCCACTGATTTAAATGGGAATACTCATGTTAAAGTAGTGAGGGTGTCACAGTCTGGACCTTAAATTATTACTCTGCGTTTGTGATACCTCTCTAGATTTATTGTAGTGTAGATATGACAAGTAATTAAAGATAGTGATAATAAAACATCAGTTTTATTTGCATTTGTCCATCATATTATAGGTTTAGAATGAAAATTATACATTTTTCTTTTTATCTAATCTTTACATAGCACATATAGTTCTGGAGCAGCAAATGGTACAATGTATACACTACATTAAATTGATAGATTTAGGACATCCAGTGATGGCATCCAGTGATATGTTTTATTGTTACTTCAGCCAGATCCAGCTACTCCCATAAAAAGGTGTGCTGTGAGACGAGGAGGGTACTTGAAGCCTTTCTTCACTTGTGTGTCATCCCCCCTTCTTCCTCCCTTTTTATGATCAACAAAATCATAGGCTCCATAACAAGGAGACTACAGGGACTCTTCCCTTTTTGTTCTGATTGCAATTTCATGCACCATGTTAAAAAGGGGAGAGAGGAGAGGCAGATAGGAAGTGGGATGCGGGGCCCAAAGAAGGGCGCAGACTTGCAGGGGTCTGTGGAGCTGGGCTGGGCTGCACCAGCAAGGAGAAGGGGGAGCTGGCTTGGCTCCACAGAGCCCCTGCCAGCTGGGACCCTGCACTCCTGCCACCTTGCTCTGGGCCCTGCCAGCAGTGGCCCTGGGACACTGGTGCAGGCTCTGTGCTCCTGCTGGCTCCTGCACCTACTCACTCCCAGTGCCCCCCAGCCCCACAGTACAGGCACAGGGTAGCTCACAGCCCTAACCCCCTGCTCACTTGCAGGGAAGAAGCTGGTGCTGAACGTGGGGAAAATCGGCCCCTCGCCCACCCCATGCCCGGTGCCCTGCACTGCAGCCACTTGCAGCCTGCCTGGGGCTGCCTGTGCCTGCTCAGAGCAGCCCTGCATGGGCTGCGAGCGGCTGCAATAGGGAGCCCTGGCCACAGGGCAGGGGAGGGGCTGCTTTTCCCCAGGCTCAGCTTTTCCCTGGGCTCCTTCCCTGCTCCTTCCCGGCACGGAGGAAACTGGCCCTTCCCCCCACCCCAGCTGGCGCTCTCTGCTGCAGCCACTTGCAGCCCACATGGGGTTGTCCTGAACAGGCACAGGCAGCCCCATGCAGGCTGCAAGCAGCTACAGCATGGGGTGCTGGCCACAGGGTGGGCAAGGGGCTGCCTTTCCCTGCGCTTAGCACCAGCTTGTAACCCACCGCGCTGCTAGCCTGGGCCCCGCGCTGGCTCTGGGCTCGCTTGTTAGGGCTGCATGCGGCGGCAGCAGCTGCGGCCCATCTGCTTGCTGTGCTGGGCAGCGTTTGCTGCCTGTTCAGAGCTTGCTGGGCAGCCCAGAGGTGGCAGGGGCAAACACTGCCTGGTGCAGGAAGCAGGGGGGCCGCAGCTGCTGTCGCTATGCATAGCCCCAGTGGGCAAGTCCGGAGCTGGCGTGGGGCCCAGGCTAGCAGCGAGGTCAAGCTACAAGCTGGTGCTGAGCACGGGGTGGGAAAACCGGCCCCATGCACGGCACCTCGCACTGCAGCCACTTAAACCCCGCCTGGCGCTGCCTGTGCCTGCTCAGGACTGCCCCGCGTGGGCTGTGAGTGGCTGCAGCAGAGAGTGCCAGCTGGGGTGGGGGGAAGGGCCAGTTTCCTCCGTGCCGGGAAGGAGTAGGGAAGGAGCCCAGGGAAAAGCTGAGCCTGGGGAAAAGCAGCCCCTCCCCTGCCCTGTGGCCAGGGCTCCCTATTGCAGCCGCTCGCAGCCCATGCAGGGCTGCTCTGAGCAGGCACAGGCAGCCCCAGGCAGGCTGCAAGTGGCTGCAGTGCAGGGCACCGGGCATGGGGTGGGTGAGGGGCCACTTTTCCCCATGCTCAGCCTTTCCCTGGGCCACTTTTCCCCAGGCTCCTTTCTTGCCCGGGGTCCTCCCCTGCCCTCCCCCCTGTCCCTTACCTGAGGTTCCAGCATGGGGCAGCCATGTGGTCCCAGGCCATAAGCCTCTGCTGGGGCTTCTGGCTGGGGGGCAGGGCTGGGCAGGCCCTGCTATTGTGGGAGCCCACCAGGCTTCCCCTGGGTCCTGCTGCTGTTGGTTCCTGTCATTTTCCTGTCACAGAGAAAACAAGGGCAGATAAATATCGATTTTCTAAGTTTTTTAGGGGCCCTGCGGACTGGATAGAATGGCCTCATGGGCGGGATGTGGCCCGTGGGCCCTATTTTGCCCACCCCTGCCCTAGAGCAAAAAGACATGTTCTATCAGAATGCCTCTTTGATTGTGGACAGATATAATGCTCAGATATTCTAAATGCACGTAAAGCCCGCAGAGTCAGGAGGTGCAGGCCATTTAAGACTAGCTTAATCTTCCTGAAACTTTTCAAAAGCACACCAGGAAAATCAAGTACTATTTTGAGCCAATCTTCTGGGAACTTGCTCAGTGTTATGTGGAGACACAGCATTCCCTGCCTGGCATCTGGTCAGTCCTTCATGCATCCCAAATGGCACCACTCCTAACCCCTTCCCCCCAAAACACATGCAGGGCAAGGGGCCGCTCTGGAATGTAGTCAGGACACGATTGTCCAAACCTCCATTCTCAGCTTCCCCTGAACCCAGAGTGGGCAGACTGCAGGAACAGAAGCAGGAACTTTTTAAAGTCCCCAGATCAAGTAAGAGTCCTGCCCCCTCATTTACCATCCCCACTCTTGCCACCTCTCCCTTACCCTTTGTGCTCAGCAGTATGTCACTGCACCCCCTCTGGATCTGCCCTGGCCGGGTGATGAGGGGCTTTGTACTCTGGACCCCCCTTAAAATCTCTGTAGCTTTTCAAACCCTACCTTGCAAGACATGCTGTCAGTTTCACTTCCCTGCTAGAGACCCTGCACTCAGGTGCCAGGCTTATCTGGGGTGAGCACCACAAGTAGAAGAGTTACCAGATACTGAGGCAAGCCACACAGCTCCTCCAACCCCTGCCCCCCAGAAGCTGGTAACTCCTCTGCTCCTCTTAACCTAAATGAGCCTGAAGTTCAGGGTTTCTAGCAGGGAGGTGAAATTGACAGCTTGGTTTTCAAGGCAGGGGTTGAACAGCCATGGAGATCTTGGAGGTTCTCAGTAGCATATAACCCCTTGGGAACCACAGGCAGGGGGCCATAGGGCCCCCCAGGCCTTGGCAACCCTTCCACTCTTTCCTGGAAGTCTTGATGGTCTGGGTTGGCTTTCAGCAGCAGTGCTGTCCCTAAAAGATGTGGGTTCTACTTAGAACCCTTAGCAGAACATGTGCAGACACTTCTATTCAGGTACAGTTGTTAACTAGTTCTCAATCAGTGGTAGTCTTGGAATGGTTTAAGTGTTATGTCTGTCTGTACCCAAAGAACTGGAACATCTCATCATTCCCTACTCTGACCTGTGCTTAAATGGCACTATCAAAGTATTTGCAGGCAATTTAAAAAAAATATGCAAGACTTTTCAAATAGACAAAATGATTACTATAGGCAAAATCTATTCTGAAGATCTGTGTGTGTGTGTGTGTGTGTGTGTCTGTATGCTGATATTATAGATATCCTTAATAATTGTTTTGTAAAAGCTTGACCTTGTGACAAGAATTATACTTTCAAGAGCTTTATAATGCTCCAGGGTTAATGGTCCTGACTTTTTTCTCACAAGCCTTTCTCCCAAACATCATTAAGAATGGATTTTCATTCTGTAAGTGGTACATAATTAATGAAGTCCTTTTTACTAATCTGCTCCAATTGGTCTTGATTTGATCCTTTTTTCCCACTACAATTGGCTTAGTGGCTGAATTATCCCTGACATTTGATCCTTTCAGCAGGTTCTTAGCAATACAGTACCATGGATCAAGTGCTTTATAGTGGAAAGACTCTTGCATCCCACATGCTTAAATATGACTGAACTGCCTGATACCATAATTCTTGCTGAGATTTTCATCACTTGCAGTTATTCTTAAGAGACTATGACATACATACTTTAATCATTTAGATTATATCACTTAAACCCATTGATATGATTTTATCTGTAGGAAAAAGGTGTGTTTTGGTTTGCTTAATATTTACAATTGAGCTGGAATCTAGAAAGCTTTAAAAGACTTTCAATTATTATATTAAATTATTAATATGGTTGAAGTTTTTCTCTTAAATCCAACACGGAATCTATCTTTAGACTTGGAAAAAAGTTGAAAAATCTAATTTCAAAAATAATTTTAATAGCAATTTGTATCTACTATGGGAAATATGTACTCATTATAGTTTTAAAAACAAATTTCTTTTCTGCTTCAGTGGAGGCCTTGTAGAAACATTCAGTTTGTCTTGGAAGAGTCGCTACTCTTCCAGGAGAAATCACAAATTTACAGATGTTCAAGCTTTTTCTCCCAGAGTAAAAATGGCTGCTCCAGGAGAAAAATAACCT